GCCATGCTACTTCTTCTTTGGCCTGACAGCCACATCCATCCTTGTTATATTTGAGCATGACACACCTTTAGGATTCTGCCCCTCTTTTGAAGCCCATTAGTCAACAAGTTCCTCAGACCTACATTGTCCTCCTCTATCCCTACTATCCCCGGAACCTGTCTGAAAGTTACTATCTGAGACTGTATCTGACCAAAGTGATCTGACTTTTATGCCTCACCCTATCTTCCTCCTGGGAATTTCCTGAAGTTCCTGCAGGGGTAGGGAGGAATCTCATTGAACACATGTAAGTGGGGAAAAACAGGATTGGTCATGTATCAGAAATGAGAAATAATGAATAGTCTCCCAGAATCATGCCTAGATATCACTTAGAAATTAAAAGCATGACTCTCTTTCCAATTCAGCCATTTAGAATCCTCTGAGTCTTACATTATCTACTATTGAAGACCCAGCAAATCCCTTTTGTCTCCAAGGAGGGCTGGGGACAAATTGGATTCTCTGGCTTCACAAGGGGAACTATTTTACTGATGCTGGAACTCAATGGAAATCATGATGACATCAGTATTAAGCACCCTCTGGTCCCAGATTTCTTCCTGTTCTTTCTTCAGAATGCCTTGTTTATAAGGGGCTGAATACTAATGAACACCAAAACAAGCCTTAATTTGGTCTTTTCTTCTTGCTGAGGTCTATGTATGGAGTTAATTTTTATCTCAAAAAAAAAAAACACCTTATCACACTATGAGAGGCCAAAGGAATGTTGTTCCTACACCTCTTCATACTGTACATTTTAGTAAATTATTTTGATTATGTATATATGTATATATATATATATATGCAGCTATCTATCTCTATTTATCTATCTACTGTCAGATGTGGCTACACATATCTGTAATTGCAGTGACTGAGGATGGCTAAGGCTGGGAGAGCTCTTACGCTCCTGAATTCAGAGCTGTAGTGAGAAAGTTAAATGAGATGTCCAGAATCCCAGCATGTATATCAAGGGGTAACGGGAGAGTGGCCCCAGGCTGTCTGAAGAGGTGTGAAGCATCTCAGAAATAGATCAGGTAAATCAAATCTCCTGAGATAATCAGGAGTGGGCCTCTGTACTTTCATCCTGAAAAAGAGAGAATCAATCTGAAAATAAATAAATAAATAAATAGAAAATCTGTCATGGTATTATGAAATTATTGATGAAATCTCTAGACAGACCTAATAACTAAATTTTATCCTTTATACACATTTTTGGCATTTTCCAAAAATGAGCTTATTATTTGCCTTATTAGCAGCTAGGTAGCATGATGGATAGAGCTCTGGGCCAGGAGTCAGGAAGACCTGAGTTCAGATAATGATTCAGACACTTACTAGCTATGTGACCCTGGGCAAGTCCCTTAACCTCTATTTGCTTGTTTTCTCATCTGTAAAATGGGGATAATAATAGCACCTACCTCCCAGGGTTTTTGTGAGATCAACTGAAAAAGGATTTGTAAAGTGCTTAACAATGAATATTAAATATTATTATTAATATTTTCATTATTATCAGCTCATGTTAATATTTTCCTCCAATTCTGCTTATTTCACCTTTAATTCAAGGGTAAAATCCTTTTTTTACTTGTTTTAGATTATGTAATTTTCAAACTTCATCAATTCTCTCTTTTGCTCTTTTGTGAATATAATGCTTGTAGTGACAGCCTCCTGCTGGGCAGCAGGTATTCATTTTCTCCTTTGCTTGTTCTACATCTTCATTAGGAAAAACAACAACAACAACAACAACAACAGAAATGGGGAGATGTATAGCCAAAGGCTCAAACATCTTAAGCACAACTGTCCTGGTTGAAATAGGTCATAGGTCCAGTGGGAATTTTACAATACTTATTCAGAGATTTGTTTTTCTCTACATATATATATATATATATACATGTATATATATATACATGTATATATATATACACACACACACATACACACATATATATATGTGTATATATGTATATATATAATACACATACATATATACATATACATACATATACATATATACATATATACATACATATATACATACATATATATACACATACATATATATATGTGTATATATATATATATACATATATATATATTTATATATATGTATATATATATATATATACATATATATATGTCTTTCTTTTTGTCACTGTGTCTGTTGAACTGTCCAGCTCTTCTCAAGTTTAAGCTTATACCATTCACACAAGGTAGTCAGGGTTTGTCTTTGACTGACTGGGATGCCAGGACAAAGATTATGACAGCATTGTCACCTGAGCACCCTGGGACTAGTCTATGATTCTATCAAACATTTGATTTGTCACCTGTGACTCCAAGAACCTACACCATGTGAAGCAATTACACTGTATAAAACTATCTTAGCAAATGCTTCAACCAAGCTGAGGGTAACAAATAGATCTCAAATCTGTCAGTGTGTTAGGAGGATGTCAATGCCAAGTATGTGAAGATTTCCTCCAGTGGAATGGATGGAAGAGAACAATTTGTTCTAATGGCCATGAAGGTGACTGAGGTAGGCTCTGTGGAGTGCTTACAGGTTAGTCAAACATCAAAGATGCCAAAGTCATCCACTGCATTCTGGCCCATCATCAGTCATCTTGACTCTTACCTTAAGCTACAGGACTTTGATGACTTTGGAAGAGAACGTGAGGCTGATAACTTCGTGTAACTATGCTTCTCTTCAATTCATGGGCGAGTCAAGACATCACCATGTGATGTCATTGGTACTCTTTGAGACTACAGGATGAACAATAACAACGGAGGATGTTACATGAGAATTGCTATAGGAAATCTGAGAAATCAGAAGCACTGATAGTGACTTAGTCTCCCTTTGATTGTTTGATCCTGAAACCAATCAATGATTAGGAAAAATAAGAAAGGACAGGGGGTTGGATAAATATAACAGATTAAAAGCAGAATGGGAAATGACCATTTATATGTAAGTGTGTATGTATTTATTAATATATATGAATATTAATATGAAGGCAATGTTATTGTACCCAATAAATAAATGCAACTCTGAAAGACTACAAATTGCAAAGCAAGTGCTATTTTACATTGGTAGAGGGAGCTTTCTCCTTAGGAGTTAGCTATATCAGTGAAATCCTGTGCCCAATCCTTCTGAAGGAATAAATACGAGGTAACAAATATGGTAAGGTTTCAATGATCTGATATAGTTTAAGCAAAATCAGGAAAACAAGATGCACAATTACAGTTAAATTAAGGAAAAGTACAATAATAAGAAGCTGAATTCTATCTATATAAGTGTAATGAACTATCTTGAACCCATAGATGAAGAAAATCATGTAACTTCTTTCATTTGACAAATGGAACACGATTGGTATGGAATGATGTATACAATGTCAGAAGGAGTTAGTTGGACATTTGCTTTTTGTAAACATTTTTTCTACTTTTGTTACATGGGAAGACTAATGAAGGTAGGTAGAGAACCATGCTAATCACTTTGCAAATATCACTTTATTTGACCCTCAAAACAACCAACCATCTCAATTTTACAGATGAGGAAAGTCAAGCAAACAGAAGTTAAATGTCTTATCTAGGGTCACACAGCTAAAAAGTATCTGAGGCCAGATTTGAATTCCTAACTCCAGGCCCAATGCTCTATTCACACTGCAATACTTATCTCCCCTATGGGAAGGAATATATTTGAAATTAACAATGGAATGAAAACTGTTTATTAAGATCTTTGTCAGGCACTGTGCTAAGTGCTGGGGAATCATATTTAAAAAGAAAAAAAGAAGTCCTTGTCCTCAAGAAGTTCACAATCTAATAGCAAAGGACAATACACAAAAGGAAGATAAAAATGGCTGGGGAAAAGCTGAAGGGTACTTAGTAATGTGGTATTGGTGACATGATATTTGTGAAGTCAATGCTAAGCAGAGTAGCTGGTGGAAAATTTAGAGCTCAATGGAAAATTCTTAGTCCTTTGTAAAGAAATACTTTGGAAGGAAGTTTTTGCTCTTTCTTCCAGCTCTGCTATCATAGCTACTAAGAAGGTATTGATGGAAAAGTAAAGGATGTATGTGCTCTCAAAGAACTTATATCCTAATAGACTCTAAAGGAAGGCAGAAAAGCAATAAGTATTTATAGAAATGATTCCTTAAGAGAATAAAATATGCTTTTTAACTTCATATTGATATGGATTTATACTTTAAGAGGTCAGGTCTTACTTCAGTGAAACATTGCAGTGGAAAAATCAGGACATGAATGAACCATTGGTAGAGTTGAGAACTCGTCCAACCATTCTAGAGAACAATTTTGAACTATGCCAAGAAGACTATGAGTCTGTACATATTTATTGACCCAAAAATATCACTGCTATGTCTGTATCAAAGAACTCAAAGAAAATGGAACAGTATCTGTATTACAAAAATATTTGTGGTCACTCTTTTAGTGGTGGCAAAGAATTGAAATTAAGGGGATGTCCATCACTTAGGGAATCACTGAACACGTTGTAATATATGATTGTGACGGAATACTCTTGTGTTATAAGAAATGATGAACAGGTTGGGTTTAGAAAAACCTTGGAAGACATGTAAATTGATGCAAAGTGAAGTGAGCAGAATCAGGAAAACATTGCATACAATAATGGCAATATTATAATGATGATCCGCTGTGAAACAGTTAGCTCCTTGGCTCAATACAATGATCCCAGCTAATTCCAAGTACTTATGAACTCTAGTTGCAGATTGAAGCATACATTTTTCACTTTATATTTCTTGGGGGGGGTTGCAATGTGGTTAATATGGAAATATGTTTTACATGACTCCAAATGTATAATTGATATACTTCTTGCCTTCTCAATGGGTGAGGAAGAATTTGGAACTCAAAATGTTGGGGGTATTTTAAATGAATGTTAAAAATAAAAAAAAAGAAAACAAAAATAAATAGGCAACTATGGACAATGTTAAAGTAGTTACTGATTTCTTTTTACTCTCCCATATAACAACTGAGAAAATAATACCAGAGAGGTTAAGCACATGATCTACGGTAACAGAGTAAATATGTAGTGATAGTAAAATCTGGATCCATGCTTTCTCTCTCTGGTATAGAACTTTTATCCATCATCTCTGCTTCCATGTGGAAATGCAGCAAAGCATATACATAGACAGATAGCGAGATAAACACATACATAGGTAGAAATTGATACGTATAAAGCAGGTCAAGTTCTGGAAATATCTCTTGTGTTCCTCTTTCCTGAGGAGGAAACAATCTTAATTTCATAGATTTTAGAGGTGGGTAGAACTTCAGAGGTCATAATATCCAAATCTCTCAATTAAGAAACAAAGTGACCTTTATTCCTCTCCTGGCTCTGCTTCTGATTTTCTGGATTTGGCTACTATGTTTTAGTTGCCATCTTAGTCCTCCGTGCCTGAGATCTCCTCTCTGTGGAAAAAAACAAAACAAAACATAAATCCTATTCACATTCAGGGATATTCTTTGGCCATTATGATTACCTTATCCTATTGGTAAATTTCTCTTGTGTCATTCATGTTGTAGAATCGTCCACCCTGGTCAACCTTTATTCTCCTTCTGGCTTCTAACAGTCTGATTTTCCAAATATTTGCATATGTCCTCTGCTGAGTAGTCCCTACCTGCATCTCACTCTCACATAAATACACACTTTTCATCTTGTGTGTGTGTGTGTGTGTGTGTGTGTGTGTGTGTTGCCTTTCCTTCCCCATTGGATTTTAATCTTGATAGCAGACTTTTTTTTTTTCATTTGTACCACCGGTGCTTAGCATAGTGCTTAACATATTATTTGTTGTTCAGTCATTTTCAGTTTTGTCTGACTCTCAGCGAGCCCCTTTGGGGCTTTCTTGGCAAAGGCATTGGAGTGGGTTTCCATTTCCTTCTCCAGATCATTTTACAGATGAGGAAACTGAGACAAACAGTATTAGATGACTTGCCCAGAGTCACACAGCTAATAAGTGTCTGAGACCAGACTTGTACTCAGGGACATGAGTCTTCTTAATTACAGGTCCAGTGCTCTATCCACTCTACCACCTAGATGTCTGGAGCATGCAGTAAAGATTAACTAAGGCTTGATTATTATTATGTTCTTCTATTAACATTTAGGTTTCTTTAGGTAATGAATCCTTTTTTTGTTTGTTTGTTTTATCTATATCCTTAGTCCTTGGAAAGTGTCTGGTATTTAGTAAGTGCTTAATAAATGCTTACTACCTTGCCAATTTGCTTTCATATGAAGTAAGTGAGGTCCATAGGCATGAACAGACTTATGAAAAGTCACATAGACTGAACATAAAAGGATCATAATTAAAATCCATTTCTTCTGACTCTAAATCTTGAGGTATTTCTATTCACAGATCACAAAATGAATAGCAACCACTTTCAATGATTCTGTTTCCTTGCAGGTAAATATATAAAGAATTGGACCACAGGACTTTTTGGACTCTTCCAAATCTATATTCTAGTATCTTATCAAAGATTATACACATGATGAAGGCACATTTCAGTGTAAGACAGCTTCCTCCCCCTCATCACATTTTTCATATCTCTCTTTTAAATTGAACTCAATTAGCGCAGGTCCCTTCTTGTCTGTCATCCAGGAAGATACCCAAGAACATCAAATTCTTAAATGTGATCTAAGAATTAATATGCATATGTTGTCACCTTCAGTTACCAATATTGATTGGAAAAAAGAGATTAATCTGGGTATCACTACTATCAATGTTGGATACCAATTGGAAGCTTTCATTTAAGACTCAGCTTCAGCTATCTATTTTCATTCTAATGGCATAGTATTCCTATGCTGCTTGCCTAAGAATTTGCTTCTATTCTTGAAATAGCCCAGTAAATTATAACATTCAGTTACCCTGTGAACTTCAGTAGAGTTAAAAGAAGAAATCAAGGGGATGGAAGTAGGGAGGAAAGGGAATAAGCGGGGCTTCAGGCAAAACCCCTGGTGAAATGTTCATAGGTGGATGGCAGGCAGAGGTTAAAAGGTGCCTTGCATGTAACCCATAAGGCGAAAGAATGATTGACAAGGTCAGGGAATATGGAGCAATGTCATTTGAACATTAGTTTGACTGAAGTTTGAAGAGGCTGGATAAGTCAAAAGATTATGGGGATAGAGAAGGAGTAAACATATCCCAAAGTAACTTTTTTATTTCCTGACAGGGATCATGTGAACAAAAATAGACTTTCACTTGGCTAAGTAGGAAGACTCACATGAATGGGAGGAAAGGAAAAAAAAACTGACTCTTATTCCAATAGACAGGCCACAGTCCCTTAGATTATTTATTTCTTTTCTTTTTTTTTTTTTGGATTTGGTGAGATACTTACTTGCTTTTACCCTTAATGTTTTTCTTCACAAAACTATTCAGATACCAGGAATCACTAATGAAGATCAATAAATAAGCAAACCATCACACCAAAAGCAATAGTGTCAGCCTAGGTGATGTTCAATTACATAATTATTGACTGTAAAATCTTCCACCAAAGATCTGAAGGTACCTTACACTGGCCTATCAAGAGCTATGTCTATGGAATGCAAGCTCTGATAAATCTTATAAAGACAAAAGGGCACAGAGATGAATTGTATGTTTCTTGTCTGAGAATCTATCTACAAAAGGCTCATCTCTGGGAGGTTAGTTTGGAGGAGAGAGGATGAATGAGACATTCTAAGAAGGACTGAAAGGCTGAAATCTTTATCAGTAAAGGCAGGGTTTACACTAATGAAATCATGGATTCATTTAATAAGCAAGCATTTTAAAAGCTATATGTATGAGGCACTCAGATGGGGGTTTGGAATGACAACAACAAACATGAAACAGTGCTTCTCCTCAATATACTTGAATTTTACTAGAGAAAAATGACATAGACACAGATAAGTAACTGTAAAACATACACAAAATAAACATAACTCCTTACATGTACTTATAAATAAACTTCTGGAGCCTGCTCTTTTAAGCAGTGGGTGCCTGATGGGAATATTTATTTCTTGTTTGTCCACAGACATATTCACTTCACTCTCAGCTCAACCCATTCTGCATTGATATACTTGCTCACCCACAGTTGCATTCTCTTCCTCTCTTTCTTCCCCCTCTGCATTTTAGGTGTCTTTTAGATATTTTTTCTTATCTTATTAGAATGGAGATCCTTGAGAGGATGGACTATTTTGTGTTGTGTATTTGTATCCTCAGGATATACATAGTGTGAGGTACATAGTAAGTACTTAATAAATATTCTATCTATCTGTATATCTGTGAGTTATTTTTCATCTACCTACCATATCTTTTAATGTATTTAGTATTCTGGGAGGAAACAGGGTTCAGACTAAGTTTCATATAGGAGATGGTACTGAGATAGGTAGAGATAAGGAGAAAATGAATTGTAGTCATGAGGACAGCACTGACAAAAATGTGTAGAGAAAGGAGAGGGGAACAACAAATGAAACAGTTTGGCTGCAGCAAAGAAGGAGTGAAGGAGAATAATCTGTAACATGAATGGAGATGTTCACTTAAATTGTGAAGTGTTTATGACAAAGAGATTTGTAATTTATCATAAAGGTAATAGAGAGCAACTGAAACTTCTTGAATAGAGAAAGTCAAATGGTCAAGAAAGTGATTTATGGGGCAGCTGGGTGGTGCAGTGGATAGAGCACAGGCCCTGGATTCAGGAGGACCTGAGTTAAAATCTGACCTCAGACACATAACACTTACTAGCAGTGTGACCCTCAGCAAGTGACTTAATCCCATCGCCTAGCCCACCCCCCAAAAAAGGAATGTACTTTATTAAAAATAATAATAATAAAAATTTAAAGCTATATAAAGAATGAAATGGAGAAGAAAGATAATCAAGGCAAGTGAGTAATTATTGCAATAGGACAGAAAAAATGATAAGGGGTCTAACTCAGTTACTGGTTGTATGAGTGGATAATAATATATAGCTTTGAAATAGGAAGTTAAATAATAAGAGAATTCTAGTATTTTGAAAGACTTCAGTCCCATCTCTCTTCCTGACTGATGTATCTCTCCCACCCCTATAGCATCAACAAATAATCAATATGACTTGGTTACATTTTTTTCTCATGAAACAACCAACTCCTCTGTGTCCCAACCCCAATGTTTAAGAAGCACATTCTCATATCAAACCTTAGATATATCACTGGAAATTTTCTGATTATTTTCCAAGTCTTCCATTCCATGAGCAAAGCAAAAAAGGTTAATCCTTCTTCCAAATAATAATCTTCCAAAAACTTGTACCAGAGAAACCATGTTCCTCTTAACAAATACTGATTTTTTTTTACCTATTCCTCATGAGATGATTGTGAATTAACTCACTTTCCTAGTTCTTCTTCTTTGAACACACTCTAATTGGTCATTGACACATAGAAAATGATGAATGCTAACCAGAATTCATGTTTACCATGACACAGTCACCAAAGATCTAATACCTGACAAAATGTAAGAGGGTGAAATAGGAATAGGTATATTAAGGATCTGAAATTCTATGCATTATTTTTTTTTTTTTGCTTAGGCAATAGGGTTAAGTGATTTGCCCAGGGTCATACAGCTAGTAAGTGTTATGTGTCTGAGGCTAGGTTTGAACTCAGGTCCTCCTGAATCCAGAGCCAGTGCTCTATCCACTGCACCACTTAGCTGCTCCTATTAAATTTCACTTACAATTAGAATACTGACTTTTTCTAGGTTCCTTTAACCTACATCATTCTATATTCTGTGATTATTTTCCAAAAACAATTAACAGCTTCACAAAGTATTCTATTTATTTCAACTCAAGGATGTAAATATAATAGCAACAGATAGTTAAATAGTATTTATGCATAGTTTTGCATAATGAGAGACACTATCATATATGGTTTTTAATATTTTTTATTTATTTGGCTAAATATTCCCCAATTATAGATAAAATTAACTATCTTTTGTGTCCAAATGCTTTCTCTCCATTCCAATTTATCACTTCTTTGGGAAGACAAACACTTTGATTTCAGTTGTACATGTGAGGTCATGCAAAACATATTTCCATGTTAGCTTTCTTGCAAAAGAAAACACAATCAAAGTAAAATAATAAAAAGTAAAAGAAAAAGAGCATGCTTCAATCTGTATTTTGAGTTCATCAGTTCTCTCTTGACTTGGATAGCATTTTTCATCATAGGTCCTTTGGAGTTGTATTGGATCATTATCTGGATTAGAGTGGCTAAGTCTTTCACAGTTGATCATACTTATAATATTTCTGTTACTGTGTATACTGTTATTCTGATTATGTTTATTTCACTTTGCATAAGTTCCCATAAGTCTTCCCAGGTTTTTCTGAGAGCATCCTGCTCATCTTTTTCTTATACTACAACAGAATTCATCAAACTATATACCACTACTTCATTAATCATTTCCCAATTTATGGAC